CAAGGTATCCTCAGGAATGACGCAAGGAACCCAGTTTCATCTCGACGGTTCAATCCCCGCCCAAAATCCTTGGCCACGCCCCCATTACTTTGATCGGTGTTCTCACGGGTACGAGACACTGTGCAGTGTGTGAGCTTGCGTATCACAAACTGATCACCTGGCCAATCTAAACATGTTGTCAGTGAAGGTCAGTTCCCCCTATACTGCTGGCCTGAAGCCTGCAAGTATGGCCTGGCAAGAATAGGGCCTCGGGGTATCAGGGACCATCTTCACCAGATGTGGTCCCACCATCTCCAGGTGAGCTGGGCTGTGGGACATTGCATGAAGATATGCTCGATGATTTAGCTTCTTCTTCGCAGATGGAAGATGTGCAGGCACCGCGGGCACCATGGCAAGGCCAATCCCCTTTGTTCCAGGTTAGTGTGATCCACTAGCCAGTCGTAGCTTGCGAGGCAATGGTACACAATCTGCCACTGTAGCAAGGTTTTCTTGGCTGGCCTGGACTTTCTTTCATGGAACCAAGGGATCGGTTTGAGGAGGTGGCGATCAATATTGAGGTGCTTAGCCCACTTACGTCCTTCAAGGCCGTTTCGACCGAAGCATCTTGTAGGTGGACTTACCCGACAGACGTGGAGCCAAATCTGTGGAGGGAGAGGGTTGGTCGTGCGTTGAACAGCCCTACTAGGGCACCCTGTGGGCCCGTCATGTGCACTCTGCCCACCTGCTCGGGATCTCCCATGATGGCCCCCCAGTCGCCTCCCCGCACAGTGGGGCCACACCGAAGGATTTGGTACCAGGAAAGAGGGACAAACTCGATGAGGGAATCTAGGTGGCATTCTATGTGATGGCAATAGCGCAGGGCATCGTGAAGCTGTGTCTCTGTTTTCCAGTCCCTGCGTTCGCCGTCCCAGATGTCACTGATCCAAAGTAAGTATCCCCTGTCCAACCCACCCTCTCCATGGCAACTCCAGGCTGCACCTAACTTCACCATTGTGATCTGTTAGCCATCTGTTTCCGCAGAGCGGTTGCCGAAGCACCTCCTCCCAACGCTTCGGGGGAGGCTTGGGTGGTAGTGGAAGATTGCGCCAACTTTTAAGAAGGGATGGCCCGAATTGGTCTGAGGCCTGGCCACTTCCTCCATCATCCGAAGGAGCCTCTACTTGGCTCTTCCGGGCTATGGTCCAAAAGTGGTCCTCTAGCCAAGTCAAGGGATGTATGCCGGAGGGGCTGGGAGGGGCCAGTTGAGCAAGATGTTCCCAGGCCAAGGGGCTCCATGGGCTGTCAGAGGCAAAAATCAGTTCCTTGATCCACTGAAGTTGCCCACCTGCGACTTAAGGCTGGAGTACTGAGTCCCATGCAACACGGCTGGTGGCGTTTGCTCTTTCACAGTCCTCATGCCATAGGAAAGCCGCCGTCTTGGCTTTCAAAAGCCCGCAGGGCCTCCTTGCTTAGTTGCCAGAGGAGAGACTTACACCACAAGGAGGCGAACGCTACATTGTTGATTGCCAGGGCCCAGCCAAGGACAGAGGTGGGCTTGTTTCGCCAATTGGTTAATTTGGCAAGGGCCGAAGCGCGCAAGGGCCGAAGCACTAACCCAATCATCATTTGAGAGGGGGGGGTCCCAAAACTGACACCAAGACCCCCAGCACTTGGAGTGGGGCCTCATGAGGAAGCCCAGCGAAGTGTGGGGATTCTGGAGGGCGTACCCCTTAATAGTGGATCCACCATCCCTGGGTCTTATTTCCCAATTGGCCATCATGTCAGAGACCTGAGTAAATATTTCCATCAGACGCTTCATCTCTCTCTTCCATACTATCGTTATTGGCCTCAACCATGACCGTGAGGTCGTCTGCGAATAAGGAGCACACCGGAACTGTGTCCTCCAGGATCTGTGCAATCTTGACCTAGGTGATATCCTTATTCTTGCATTAGCCAAGAGGGCCTCCATGATGATCAAGAAGAGAAATGGGGCGATAAGGTCCCCCCTGGCGATCCATGCAATTTTGGCCCGGGCGATATCCTTATTCTTGCGTTAGCCGAGAGGGCCTCCATGACAATCAAGAAGAGAAATGGGGCAATAGGGTACCCCGGCGCACCAAACCCTCGAGCCGTATGGGTGGGGCCAGCGAACTGTTGACTTGGACCCGAGTGGTGGCGTCTGGTGCAAAATGCAAACCCGCCTGCGGAATACCGGGCCAAAATTCATTTTCTCGAGGAACAAATAGGAAGACGCTCATCATCATTTAAAATTCAAAAAAGGAGGCACCAGAGGGCCTAGCTCAGTTGGTACATCCATGAACTGCTGAAATACAGCCGTAAGTTCCAATCCAGACAGAACTACGTTCTTCCCCCGAATACGACATACAGTCATTGTAGCTGTATTTCGACTGAAAGATGCCCCAAATACAACTATAACGACGGTACATTGTATTCGGCAGGAAGAAGGTAGTTGAATGAATTTCTGAGTTACCTGGGGCCGGTCAGTTCCACGATGATATCGCAAGGCCCCCGCCCTTCAAAAAAAAAGAAGGGAAAAAATAAAAAATAAAAAGGAGACAAGGAGGCTGCTGTTCATCATACCACACAGCTATCACATTGCATAACTATCACATAGCACACAGCTATTGCATAGCACAACTATCGCATAGCATCCACATAGCACACAGCTATCACATAGCACACAGGAATCGCACAGCACAGCTACGACACGCTCCATGGCTTATCTAAAATACACATAATGACACGCTCCATGGCTTATGTCAAACTACAGCAAACACTCCTTTGTATAATTTGTTTGGTTGTTCTCTGTGGTACTGCGGCCCCTGTGCTTTTTCATCTATTAGCTCAAAGCGAAGTTGCCACTGGTACTATAATATAATACCTATTTAAGTGGCCTCTGGTGACGCAACCGCCGCCCATAGCGGTCTTTTGGGGGGACGCAGGGGGACGCATACACTGCAGCTGATTGCTCAGAGTGTCTCACGTGCATGTGTGCGATCTGTGAACTGTCATCTCTGAATTGTTAGCATTCATAATTCATAATTCTGGTACAGCGGCAAAGATACGGCTTAAAAAGAAAAAAGAAAAAAAAAAATCATCGCTTTCACATTGAGTCAAAGATAAGGCTTCCTTCAGTCCCTGGCTTTTCCCTTCTTCCTGTGCTTTTGAAGAGAGGGGAAGGGGAGGGAGGTGGCGTGGGGGGCAGAAGAAGGAGGACGGCGCGCAAAGAGGAACTCACCACATCGGTGCTGGCGGGGGGGGGGGGGGGGGAAGGTGGTGGAGGAGCGGTGGGAAGGGGGCAAGGTAACACTCTACTAAACGACAACACAAATCACTTCCCTCGGTTTTCTTTTCGTTTTTTTTTTTTTTCTCTTTTTTTTCTAGGCTGTTTTCACAGGCGCCCGGGCAGGGTTCCGCGCAGCCCCAGCGCCCCCCCCCCCCCAAAAGAAAAAAAAAGTTCCCAAAAAATATATATACTGTGTAGAATTGCAATACAAACGACTTTTGGCTGAGGGTCAAATTAAAATTGCTCACAGAATCGGGGAATAACTGAATCACACGAAGGCACCCCCCTTTGAAGTTCAAACCCCTTTGGCCCCTTTCAAACCAATTTATACCCCCCTTCCCCCCCCCCCCC